GAAGATCCAATGCCCCTTTCTGGCCTCCACAGGGACTGCCTCCACCCCCAGACACAGGCAAATAAAAAACAAAAATCTTAAAAAAAAAAAAATGGTACTTTTTTTTTTTTTTTTTTTTTTTTTTTTTTTTGGTTTGGAGCTGGCCTGACGTATATTAAGCATGTTCTCCAGCAATGAGTTGCAGCCCAGGCCAAGCAGACACAGTGGGAGGACTCCCAGCCTCCTGAGTCCCACAGGATCACCTAAGATTTTCAAATCGAACCTAGAGCCAAGTCATGTTCGTTCTCCCTTCCTTTTTTTTTTTTCTTTTTTCTTATTTCTCTTTTTTAAAGTATAATTTTTGATGTACATTGGTGTTTGGACCTACATGTATGTCTGTGTGAGGGTGTCAGATCCCCTGGAACTGGAGTAATAGACAGTCGTAAGCTGCCACGTGGGTGCTGGGAATTGAACCCAGGTCCTTTGGTAATCCTGTTTCCTGTTCTTTTTACATTCTATAGACTGAGCTGTACCCTCAGCCCCTAATTCTGTGATATGTCAGTCAATGTGCTGCTTTGATCATAATAACACAATTTCAGAACGTGGAGACAAGCCGGGCAAAGTCACTGTTCAACAAGATTGATGGTCTGAGTATGATGGCTAGGAACTGCATGGCAGAAGAGAGAACTGACTCCTGAGAGTTGTCCTCTGGCCTCTACCTGCGTGCTGTGGCCCCCGTGTGCCTGCTCTTCACACACACACACACACACACACACACACACACACACACACACACACAGTACTAATGAATTAAAAAGTAATAACAGTGTCCACTAATTTCAATGGAAAATATTACTGCCAGTGCTTTGCACACAATAGTTTGTTTAACCCTCTGCAGAAACACCAGTCTCATGTTACCATGTTAACTTTACCAATGAGAAAGGCTCCGTACAGTTTGGTGACAAGCCTAACGTCCCTCTCGAGCTCAGGATTTTCACCCATGTCCTGTAACTGTGGTCTAAAAGAAAGCACCGAGGCCTGCCATGGGCCCAGTTCCCTCCGGGTTTGCAGAATTACAAGGTTTCCAGAGCATGGTTCTGTGGGTAGCCTCCTGGTTGCCTTCAGGTGCAGACTGAACCTGCAATTCTCTCCTTATCAGTCCCGGGGGTCTCTGGACTGATTATCTGGGTTCCAAGGATGAACTGCACTTCAGGGTGGTCTCTAGATGTCCTGTGTAGGGACTTCGCTTGTGCTGTGTTCCTAACTGGAGTGCCCTTGTGATAGGAGCTTCCCAGTAGATCTGGGAAGCCCCCAAGCCTGCTGAGGCTGGTGTGGAGTGCAAGATTGTGACTTTGAAGCTTGGGGCTTTTCTTTGGCGGTGAGACCTCTGTGGTCTGAGAGTGGCTTCTCTGAACAATTTGGACAATGGTGGCATTTCAGGAAGAGGTCACTAGGCAGCCTGCACTAAGATGGACTTACCAAATCTGGCTATTGGTGGACTCTTCTCCCCTTTCCTCTCTGCACACGACCAGATGTGGATATACTACATAGCTCAAAGCCACAGACCCTGGCAGGCTCTGCCGCCCTCCATGCATCATAGGTACAGACAGCATTTCCAGGGAGCACAGGCACACTGAACCCTGTCTCCTTGTTTCCAATTTTTTTAGGAGACACATCTAAACCACAGTGGTTTAGGGCAAAGAATACATTGTGGGATCAAGCACAATGGTCTTGGGAGGTGTTGAGTATTCAGGGAGAGGTGGAAGGTGCAGCTGCTGAGATTTAGAACTATTGAGAACTTTCTGACAAATGGCTAAGTTCCCGAAAGCATGGCTGCAGGTCTCCGAAATTACAGGAAAGAAAATTGGGATACCCCGTGGTCTGGAAGGAATGGCTACCCGGCAGCCAGATGATACTGGCTGGGACCCTGGTTTGACTCAGAGCCGATTTCCTCATCTGTTAAACGCCTCTAGGGATGCTAGGAGTGGAGGTGTGTGCGGAGAGACTTACGTAAAGCCAATGTAGCGTGGAGCCTGTGGTGAACTGGGCCTAGAAAAGAGCAGCCATGCTGTTCCTGGTGATTCATCTCAGGATACGCACGGTGCCTTCCTGCTGGGAGTAGTAACCTACAAGAGGTTTCAGAATCTGTCACTTCTACATAAACATGAGCAGGTTTTCCTCGGTCAGTATTTGGGACTAAACATGGAATTGTGTGAAAGTCAATCGCCTGTAAACTGTCATAGACAATACAAGGACAACACTGCGGATGCTTTGCTTTTTGGGATGGGGACTCAGTATGGCCTAGAACTCATGACCTCTCAAGTGGTAGGATTGCGGGTTTGGGACACCAAGCTTGCCTCCATGGCTACCTTTCTACTGCAGCCCAAAGACTCAGAAGGAGCCAAGTGTTTCTGTAGGGGAACAGTCAATGCATAAGGAAGGGCTGAAAAGACCTGCCCAGGTAGGTGCTTAGGTAGTCAAGGCGTAAAACAGCTTTCCTATAGAGAAGTAATTTATTACTTTAGTTCATTTCTTTTCTTTTACGTAAGGCCTCTCTATGTAGCCAGGTTGGCCTTGAACTTCTGATCCTTGACCTCAGCCTCTCTTAGGTGCTGAGTTTATTGGCATATGCACCACGGCTGGCAGTATTTTTTTATTTTTTTATGTATTTATTTACGTATGTATGCATGTATGTATGTGTGTATGTATTTTGTATTTTTAAAGAACAAAAATTCAAGCAAAAGCCCTTGGAGAGCCCTAAACTACATAAGCCAGTTTTCTTGGCCAAGGTCGGTGCCCAGCCTTTGTAGCTAGTATCAAATGCATAATTACAGTATCCACTTTTCACTGAGGAGATCAGTAAAGCCCAGAGAGGCTCTGTCTTTGTCCTCTGTCACTCAGTGTAAGGACGGAGTCGAAGTTTGAACCTTTGCCTCCACTGCCTGACCTTTTGACCACTGATTGGGAAATAGCTCAGGGGAGGGCAGACGGGAGGACATCAGCGAATCCAAAAGACCCTTCCCCTCATTTATGACCCACTTCCCACATACCCCATCATCCTTTCTTCCAGGCACATCTGCTGCTGGTCCACGTAACTCCAATTCTTTTTATCTTTTTTCTCCCCGATAAATATTTTACTCATATTCAATACTGTATTTAAAACACCAGGCCGCAGAAAAGCCCTTCAAAGGCGACGCACGGAACGTCTCTGAAGCAAACCCCTGTACGTTGTCTTTATCTCACAGCTGAACGCAATTTCCCCCCAGATGTCAGTTGCCTCCGTGTCTTGGGGAGTGGATTCTTAGAGGTTCAGAACCGGTTGGAACTGCACCAAGAACAGGGCGGGGCCTTCCGAGCCTTCACAGACAACTTCGGATCCTCATCTAAAGCAGCCAGCATGGGGGACTGGCACATTTGGCCCTGGTCCTTTTGACCTCTTTCATCTTCTCTGACACCCCGAGTTTACGGAGCCAAGAGAGAATGAGACCTTTTGCTACGCTTCTTCCCTGGGCCCAGCCCTTCCTTATCTGAGTGGAAATGAGCGTTCCACATGCCTGGGCTAGAAATACAGGCTCGGTCCTCAGCGGGCAATAGGTGAGGACAGCTCCGAATGGCTTCCACGTGTGCTCACCTCGGCAGCAGCCGGACAGGAAGGGAGAGGCGGCATTTGCGTGCACTTGCTCTGGGATGCGAGGCTCCGGGATGCTTTTTAGCAACATAGCAGCACCCTCTAGGCAGCTGAGCTCCCTAGAGCCCAGTCTGCTGGCTTCTCTGCCATGGTCTCATGTCCCCGCTAAGGTGGCAACATCTTCCAGAGGTGTTAAGCTTTGAAAGGAAACATGAGATGCCATGGAAGAGCAGAAGCTGCAGGCGGGGATGGATGTCTTCTGCCTCCCGCGGCTGGAGGCTGTCTCCTAGGAGCCGCCAGGCTTTTGAAATGTTGAACGCATCACGCTGCTCCTGTCTCACCCTGCCGCCCTCGCTCTCATCCTTCTCTGTCTCCATCTGCCCACCAGCGCCTCGAGCTGAATGATGACACCTCCACATCTTCCGCGGGGACACGCCCTAGAACAGGCTCTTCCTTCAAAACATGTTTTCATTCAAGTCAGTCAGGGCTTCGAAGCCAAAGCAATGGAAGAGATGGTTATGTATCGGAGGGCTCGCTGTGGGCCGGTGTGCTGGGGCTTTTCAACTGTCTTTTCTCCCTTCCCTTCCCTTCCCTTCCCTTCCCTTCCCTTCCCTTCCCTTCCCTTCCCTTCCCTTCCCTTCCCTTCCCTTCCCTTCCCTTCCCTTCCCTTCCCTTCCTTCCTTTCTTCTTTTCTTCCTCCCTCCCTCCCTTTCTTTCTTTTTTGTTTTTTTTCCCCCCAGACAGATTTCCTCTGTGAGGTCCTGGCTGTCCCAGAACCCTCTCTGTAGCCCAGGCTGGCCTCGAACTCAGAGATCCGCCTACCTCTGCCTCCTGAGTG